GAGTTGTAATATTCCTTTTTCACATCAGAAAGCTTTGGTGAGGATGCGAGATAAAACTGAAGGTTTCATTCCATGTCCTGTAGTAGAAATGTGAATTCCATTGGTTCCCTTCATCTGGGGCTGTTCCCTCTTTGGTTCTTCAAAAAAATCTTCCACGGATAATGCTGCATGTCACATTCTTACTGTCTCATCATGAATTCATCCTTCACCATAGAATAAGGATGGTCTCTTTTGTGCCTTCTGGGTTGGTGATGCTTCGTTGTGGGGTCCAGTCAGTATCAGTTTGGTGAACATCCATGCCTACGTTAGAAAATGCTGTTTGCAAATCTGTTGCCATCCCTTTCTGTATGTGTTTTGGAGGAAAAAAAGCAAAACAAAACCCGAGTTCTTTCCCCATAGTGTGCACGTGCCTTAGTTTGAGACTGGGGACATTTGCAAAGCTTTCCCTTATAGTCTGCAGTCACCTCTGTGCTCTGATGACCAATTGATATGCTGCAGCTGTGGTTTCCCAGCATTTTATAACTGTTCCACATAGTTTGACATTGTACCCCTGTGTTGGTAAGGCATTTTTTTTTTTGTGTCTACCCTGTTAGTTTGTGGTTGCCCCCATTTTAGATCAGTGATCAGGATATCCTGATGTTCTGTGCATACTTTCAGTTCCAGCCACCACTGTGACTTCTTCACTGGTTTTGAATGAATGCCAGTACCTGATTGGTAGTATGAGTAATAAGATCATTTAAGCCTCATCTCTCCATTTTATGTAAAAAGTAGCTTGTAGGTAAATTGATCAAGAAAAAGAATTCAGTGATCCCATTCAAATAAGAGTTTATTGGAGGCAGCTAGGTGGCATAGTGGATAGAGCACCGGCTCTGAAGTCAGGAGGACCTGAGTTCAAATCCGGCCTCAGACCAGGCACTTGATACTTACTAGCTGTGTGACCCTGGGCAAGTGACTTAACCCCAACTGCCTTAAAAAAATAATAATTAAAAAAAAAACAAGTAAGAGTTTATTTCTCAAGATCAACACATTCAGAGTTCGAAGGAACTTCAGAGCTCATCTAGTCCCACTCCTAACTGAATCCTTTCTTATAGCATCCATGCTGACAAGCAGTCATCTAAATTCTGCTTCAAGACTTCCAGTGACAAGGAACTCAATACCTTTTGGGCAGTTTGGATTGTTAGGAAGGCCCATTTTGCTTGAAAGGAGCCTAAATCTACTTCTCTCTGACTTCTACCCACGCACCTAATTCTTCACTCTCAGGCCTAAAAGAACAATTTTCATTCCTGTTCCATGTGACAAGCCATTTAAAAATTTGAAGCCGCCTATTATGTCTTCTCTCAGTTAGTCTCTTGGCTAAACATCTCCAGTCTTCCATGGATCTTCCCAAGGCATGTTCTCTAGTTCCGGCATTATTCTGATCACTCCAGGCTATCACTATGCTGCTGAAATGTGCCAGCCAGAACTAGAGAAGGTACCCTAGATACATGATCTGATCAGGGCCATCACATCCCTCGTCCGAGAGGCTCTCTCTCTTAATGCCGCCGAGGACTACATTAGCTTTTGACTTCTGTGTCACCTGTGCACTCATACAGTCCACTGAAATCCACGATCTCTTTAGCACAAACTGGTCATTGTGCCTTCCCCATCCTGTTCATTATTCCTGTTAAATTTCATCTTGTTAGATTTGGTCCCTTATTCTAACCAGTGGAGTTTTTTGGGTCTTTTAAAATCCTGACACTTGTCATTCAGTGAATTTGCTCTCCCTATCCAAAGAACTAGGTCCAAAACTTGCCCCTGCCATTTATTAGCTGTGTAATCATGAGTAAGTCAGTTCATCTTTCTTGAATGCAGTTTTCCTCATCTGTAACAAGGTGATAATCATATTTATGAAGCCTGCCTTACAAGATTGTTGTGAGGAAAGTGCTTTATAAAACTTTTAAGTACTACATAAATGTGAGCAGTTATTATAATTGCCCCTGAAATACATCCCAGGTGTGTGCTTATCAGTTTATATTATTATTTAAAAGGGAAAAACAACTAGAAGCCAGCCAATTGACCTATAATTCCCCCAATTTTTTTTTTGACTTTTTGAATGGAGCACAACTAAAACAAGCAACGGACAATAAAGGAGATATGAAAAGGATAGGGTTCTGACCTTTTATTATCACCATGGTTAATCCAAAACTCTTTTTTATTTCAAATTCTTTTTTTGAGAAAAAAAAATGATCCTGTAAGCCTGGAATTAATTTGCTATATACAATTCCCTCTCTAAAGCCAATAATTCGCTTTTTTGTGTTCCTTCCTGATACCCATATTGAAACCAATTTTTATACCTGTTCATAAAATTACCAATGAATTTCTCATATGTTCAGGACAGATTTTATTTGTGAAGTGTACATATTCTTTTCTCCATTCAGTGTTAAGTGTAGTTAAGCAACTTACTGATTTGGTAATTTACAATAAATCCAACACTTGCTTTCACTTTCTCCAGTGTCAGATTATTTAAACTGTCGCTGGATTGCTTCTTTTAAGCACACAGTACTGTCGGCTAAGGTAGAAAATAATTTTAAAAGCCAAACATCAAAACATTTAGCAAGAATAAAGAGTGCACATTTGAAATTCACAGCAAACTAAATTCCATTTCCTGTCATTGACCCACAGGTTGACATGGTGGCTTGACAAATTAAGTTTGGTGGTTTAAACTCTGAATCAAAGTACGGCCTTTCCTTTCCATACAGTCCATATTTTCAGAATGATTTCCTCTATATTGTGAATCTGTATTCTAAATTTTATTGACTCTAGTCAGTGTTAACTCCACCTCTAGCTTTGATGTCATTGGTAAAGTAGAAAGTGTTGAGACGGTGGTGTTAAAATAATTCTTAATGTCTCACATCTACATTTCTGCTGCCACATTTCTATCTTAGCAATACTCGGGTGTCAAGTGTTCTTAAAAATATGTATATGCTTATACCATTTAAGTATTCTTAAAGTCTCCATTCTAAATGCAAAACTGTTATATTTGTCCTTGGATACTTTTCCCCTGGATCCTCTGGTCAGCTGACTTTAACTCAACAAAAAGCCTTGCTTGTGACTATGAAATGAAATACTGTCCTTTTGTGACACACCATAAATTATAAGAGGCAGCTAGGTGGCACAATGGATAGTGCCTGGAGTCAGGAAAACTCCTCTTCCTGAGTACAGATCTGGCCTCAGACCTTTACTAGCTGTGTGACCCTTGGCAAGTCACTTGTTTGCCTCAGTTTCCTCATCTGTAAAATGAGCTAGAGAAAGAAATGGCAAACAACTCCAGTATCTTTGCCAAGAAAACCCCAAATGGGGTCACAGAGAATGAGACATGACTGAAAAACAACAAAAAATAAATTAAAAAACTGATGTTTCACTAACTCAAGCTTGAGATGGTTTGAAGATTGTGGCTTTGATCCATTGCTTATGAGATACAATGTTTAGGAATCATTGACTGGTAAGCTAGTTCAGAGCTTGAAGATTTAAATGCAGTCAGAGATCCTGTGTATCCAAAGCAACCTGGACCCGAGTTCAGCTACAGGACAAAACATCTAAGTGAGGTAGCAGTTACTAGGCAGACTATAGTAACTGAATGAGATTTTAAGAACAGGACTAAACAAGAAAAATTCCATGGAATTGTTAGGATGTTATGGCAGCCAAAGCCCTTTATTGTCAAAGGAATAGAATCATGGAAAAAGTTTATATCAGAAAGCACATAAGTATGTTCCCCATAAAATAAGTGCCATTTCTAAGATAACCCAGTAATGATACAAAGGTGTATATTTAGGGCTCTATTCCCACCCCACCCCCCCCATATGCAGGGAAGCCTCAGAGTATTATTGGAGTAGACATTGGTTTTATACCACTTTATTCTCTCTTAGACACTGCAGTCTAGCTGTTTAAGGTTTCTCTTCTTGTCCTTGTGACAGTATCCTAATTTGAAGTTGACATACTCCATTTCCAGTCATCATTTCATATTATTTTGTTTGTACCCCTTAAAGCAGGTAAGAAAAAAAAAGCCATTAAAATGACATTGCAAACTCTCCCATTGCCTTTCTTTCAGAGAAATCATATGCTAGCCTATTCTTGAGTATGTCTCTGTATCCCCAAACCTAATTTTTTCTGCAGCAAAAAAATTAAATTCATATTGTATTAAAGTCACAACTGTTTTCAACTGATCTTCTTAAACTTCTAGTTGTCACTACATATTTGGTGCTCAGTTAAAAATGGACAAACATTTTTGTGCTTATCTTGAAAAAAATAACAATCATTAGCTTCTTTCGCTGGTAAAATGAAAATGTTGACCTGATTGCCCCCTTCTAGCACTAAATCTATGATGCTGTGATAAAAAAAAAAAAAAAAAAAACAAATACACACACAATAACAGTTCTTGGGCCTTGGACTT